ACCAGATGGCATCGGAAACATTGAAATGGAATCATGAAATATTTAGTATAGGGTGTGTTGCTTTTACTTCCACCAGATGGCATCGGAAACATTGAAATGGAATCATGAAATATTTAGTATAGGGTGTGTTGCTTTTACTTCCACCAGATGGCGCTGGAAACATTGAAATGGAATCATGAAATATTTAGTATAGGGTGTGTTGCTTTTACTTCCACCAGATGGCGCTGGAAACATTGAAATGGAATCATGAAATATTTAATATAGGGTGTGTTGCTTTTACGTCCACCAGATGGTGCTGGTTTTCAAAAAAGCATATTTTTACAAAAAAATCATGTTTTTACCTGTCACAGGTGTGACATCTATATAATATACGGATATAAAACCATTCACGTATTCGAATGCAATGTTGTGTCAAAATTTCAAAGCAATCAGTGAAGAACTTTCAGAGATTAGCGATTTTGAACAAACAACCATTACATTTTTATTTATGTAGAATATATAATTTTCTTTCTAAAATGTTCAGTTCTATACTTCTGGACCCATACCTGCTGCTTATTTTCATTTCTTTTTTAAATGCTACAGTTGTTTCCTACCCTGTTTTCCCAAAAATAAGACCTTCCCGGATAATAAGCCCAATTGGGATTTTGAGCGCATGCACTAAAATAAGCTTGCACCTCAAAAATAATAAGACCTCATTGAAAATAAGGCCAATTACTTATTTCTGGGGTCAAAAAACACAGTAGCATGGAAACTCTTTTCCACACCTTTTTTAAAAAAAAAATGTTGTGAGATATTATCAGAACTATATAGAGTCTTCCAAGAGTGAATGAAACATGAACGCTCTATCATTATTCTTAACATAAGATTTTCCTTTCCCCTTGTGACTAAATATTTTCATTCAACAATCTAGGAATATCGTAAAACCTGGAATAGTATTTCCTCCTAATATTCCTTGTTTTGTACTATTATTATGTTTTTGTTTTGCTATTTTAATAGTTGATGTTCTAATTGGACGAATGTTAATAGTACACTCTGATGTTTCCATTGACAAATTCTAAAAAATATTGGTTCAAATAAATCCTTGGAAGGATTTATTGGACTAATCTTTAAAAAAAATCGTATTCTTTAACTACACATTATTCCTTTAATGAGACATTTGTCAAATCTCTTTTCAGATTCAGATAAGGTTCTTTTTATCCCCATCTGTTTAACAAGATAAAACTAACATTTGAAAAAAATATATTTACAAAGACATATATTTCCATATGCACAATATTTTTTTGTTACAAGACTTTTTACCAATTCAGACAAAAAAAAAACCTCTTTAAATATTAAAATAAAAATGTTATATTAGATATTTTCTAATCCTCTGAAACAGGAATTTGTGTGATGAGAAAGATGATAGATAGATAGATTTTAGAAAACTAGCAGTTTCCATTTGAATGTTTGAAAACCTTTCAATTAGATAAAATCCGACCTGTCGCTATATATACCCAAATAACATGGGATATTATTTTACTTGCATTTAATTGATTAAACATGCTAGAATTATAATTCTGAATGTTATCAATGTTTCACTGAAGTTTATCTGAAGCAGAAATAGCTTTTGCAAGAGTGAGCATTCCTGAAATCCCATCAAAACACAATTGTTCAAGTATCACAATCTTAATCACATAAAATTACATTTACTATTGTATTAAAAATAATACTTAGTGTAGAAAAATAATTCCTAACATGATAACATGTTATTTGCTTATCAAATAAGAAATGGTAGAAATATCTGTTATATATTCCCAGGAAATGAATTTTAAGTAGAAGATTTCATGTAACTGGAAATACTTTTGTGCCTAATATGTTTAAAATGTTATAAATAATTATTTAAAGGACTCTGTTTCTATTATCCTTCAAAACAGCCAAAGCAAAACATTGTTGTTATATTAAATTGACCATGATAGGGTATATTACTAAATTAACTGAATGATTGAGCACAACATTAATAGAGCACTGCTTTAATTTTAATGCTACATTAAAAAATAAGCTAAAACTTCAAGACATTTTAATTTTTCTTTCATAAATAAAACAAGGATTCTATACTGTACCACTGATAAATGGAACAAGATGGCCTTCCTGATACCTACACAGAGTGCACAGCAGATATTTCTCTTTGTGAATATCTGACACTACCTAGGATTGAACTAACAGTCTTCTGATTGTGAGGCAAGAGCTCTACCTCTATGCCACCATGCCAGTCAGTGTAAAGATATTTGAGTATTTTAGGAAAAATAGATTTATGGACCAAGCTGTTTCACTTGAGAAATATGGAATCCAAACAAACATGAAAAAGGCCAGCATGTATTTAGCTTCCTGTACCAAATATTTAATATATGCAATATTTAGATTATCATCCAAGATAATCATATCAGATGATATTTGCAAATTTCATCATCGTCATCATCATGACAAAAAAAAAAAAGGATGGCTGTGAAATTCACCTATTAGGTTACAGATTAAGAACGAATATACAACCTATATTAACTTTAATACAAAAACTATTTAATAAGTTACAAATACCTCCACACTTAGGGATAGGTCCACTCCACATGACTTTACCATCCATCAAAACACAAGTAATTGTTTCAGTTCCTTGAGTTTTAATAAAACCATCTTCACAAATCACAGAGATAGAACTTCCCAGTTGAAAATTGTCTCCAAATCGACGTGCATTGATTGGTATACCAGGATCAGGACACTCATTATGTCCAAATGCTTTAAAATACAAAGAAGATAAGGAAGGAATAGGGGAAAGATTTAAAAATATCAGTTATATTTCAAAGTTATTTGAGCCCAGGTTTTATATATTGCATTTTTTTCTTGATTTCTAAATTAATCAACATTGATTCTACCATAGATGCACTATCCTTCATAATATACTAATTTCCCCTCAATTATATTTGTTGCATTAGTTCCACACTAGTTGATGAATAGTTTCAAACATTGCTTTGACAAGTTTTTCCTAATTTTCACATTTTAGGTTCATTTCTCCTCCACTGAATAACTGAACTATAAAATTTAAAGGGAAAAATGGGTAGGGCTTGATTTTAAATGCTTTAATTCAAGAAGTGCAAATTAGGTTGGTTGATTTTATAATTAAAATTAGTCTCATGTTCTTCTTTGTATGTGGGAATGACATTTCAGATGATAGATAGCTAGATAGCTAATGTGTTCCTTGGTCTTATTTTCTTTTGACCCTCAAAATAAGCACTTGGCCTTATTTTTGGAGAGGTCTTATTATTTTTGAGGTGCAGGAGGATGCAAGGTGGTTACCTCATGTATGCTGTTGTGTTGCAATATTTTCGGGGAGGGCTTCTTTTCAGGAGAGGGCTTATTTCAGCACATGTCCTCAAAAACCCAATTGAACTTATTATCCAATGAGGTCTTATTTTGGGGAAAATAGGGTAGCTAGATAGTTAGATAGCTAGACAGACAGACAGACACTGCCCAAGGCCACATTGGTGTCTGTTTTAATTTGGTAATTATGTGGTAAATTCCATATTCAAAATTTAGATAAGTCCTAAATATGGCAATTGTTGGCAACTTATGTTGTATTCATATATAAGCAAATTAAATTGATAATCTTGCCATTTTTATTAAGTGGATGTAAAATTAAAAAAAAAAAACATTAAACCTAAAGGCATCATTGTAATAATTTTGTAACACATAAAGTTTTATATTCCAAAGCAATAAATCACCATAAAATTACCCTTTAAGTAGAAACCCCTTCTTCTATTCATACGTATGAGACAGAGAGTCAAGTGTTGACAAAGTCAAGTGGCTTGAGGGCAATAGCAATTTGTCAAACAGTTCATAATTTAAAAGCAGAACAAGAACAGTGACAATTTCTGATTCAGGTTGTATATTTTTCATCTCTCTCAGGAGAGAAAGAGAAAAGGAGAGAGTGAGAGAGGAAGGAAGAGTGATCAGTGCAACTCTAAAGAGCTTTTGCAATTGTCTTCAGTGTTTGATGATCCACAAGTATTATAATTCACCTACAAGAATGACTGCTAATAAGTTAACAAGTATAATTATTTATATAAGATAATGCACAAGATCCAATGGTTAATCGTTGTACAGTTACATTCTAAAACTCCTGTATCCTTTAAAAAATAAAAATTAAAAAATAATTTAAAACATGGAAAGGTGTCATTCAAGTTTAAGAACAAAGAACTGCTCCTAAAAATGAATTTTAAAAGTTCACTGGGAAAGAACTGTAACTTAATTTAGGATAACATTTGTCACTAGGCAAAAATTTGGAAACATGTCAGAAACAAAACCTGAATCACTTGTGGCATTGAAGTAATTTTATATAACAATCTGCTATGACATCCATCAGAGCCCATTTAAATTTAATGTTCCACAATTACTGTTTGACAACATAGGATTAACAGCTCTTGCCACTGGTGTCACTTTGGAAAAGGTACAAAGTTATATTATTATTAATAGCATACAGTTGTGTATTACTTTACATTAATACAAATTTATACATTGCAATAAAATTAGACATCCACTCTCTCTGCCATTTTTATAAGGTGTGAGAATATTAACATAGTTGTTGTTGTTTTTTTGGGGGGGATACTGTGGCTTGAAAAGAAGAATGAAATAAAGCCAAGTATTCATCTCATAGCAAGTCTGTTTTGTGACACAATTGTACTAGAAGTAGATACTGCAGGAAAGCAAATTAAAACTATCAAAAATTAATAAGATTAATTTGATATGGTGGTTCCTAGATGAAAACAGAAAGAAAGAAAGAAAGGAAGGAAGGAAGAAAGAAAGAAAGAAAGAAAGAAAGAAAGGAAGGAAGAAAGAAAGAAAGAAAGAAAGAAAGGAAGGAAGGATGGAAGGAAGGAAGGAAAGAAAAAAGGGAGGGGGAGGGAAGGAGGAGGAGAGGAGAAGAAGAGGAGAAGAAGAAGGAGGAGGAGGAGGAGGAGGAGGAGGAGGA